GTTATTCCTAGTAACCGTGTTTTAGTTCCAATACCCCACACAAAGCCGCAGATATTCGTCTTATTTTGACAAGAACCTTAAGCTATGCCAAGAATGATTTTGAATGCAGAATAATTTCGCGTTGTAAGAGATATCCGACAACGCGTTTTACTATTTACTGTACCTGCCATGTGCCCATTTCTAGCTGTTAGTTTATTCCGTGGTTCATGGTCTGTGTAGAAAAAGATTTTAAAAATATCCCACGGTCGAATTTCGCCCTCTCACCAAGCAAAAACTGTTGGTATTTGACAGAAATATCTTCTGATTCACCGACTGTAATGGTCACTAATCCTTTAGAAGCGTTCCTAATAATTGCTGCACAGCAATCTGTTCTGCCCTACGATCCACCACAACTCTGTTGACAGAGACGAATGGTATTATATGCTTTTCGACCTCCAACGTTTTACTGGTAATGTTTAATTTTGGCCTTTAAACACATAAGGAGGCCGGTTCCTAATACAACGTCTCAAGGAAAATCACTGACTATAAAATATAATGAGCGACTGAAATCCCTCCCAGCCTTAATTGGCTGCGGTTCAAATTTTGGGTTTGAGAGCTGTGCTGTTGACTGCCACGAGGTTTGCTGAATTGTATTAGATGTTTGCTTCAATTGTAACCATAGGGCTTTGAACTAAGGTGCATGTAACTCCAGTAGCAAGTAATTTCTTGACCCGATTAGTCAGTATGCACACAAACGCCATGAAAACAGCTACAGATCGCATGCTAAACACTACGGGCACAAGTCACCTACACCTTCGTCCAATTGCTGTGATGTGTGTAACAAGATCCTACGGTTGATGGACGACGTGTAGGTTTACCGTATGCAATAGTTATATCGTACCAGGATACATTTTCTTGTACCGCATAATTCTAATCCGAGAACTAGCTCAGTGTTGTGTTCCCGACCCCGAAATAAGCAACTAGACTTTCGTTCGGCTGTGTGAAAACATGACTGGGATGCCAGGGGCCATAGGGTGGGATGCATTGACAAGTGCTCTAATCGCGCGAGCTCCTTAAAGGTGACAGCGTTAACCTGTGTCTCTAGAATTCTGCTATCGGACACAATATCTAAGAATTCATCTGGAAGTGAACCCAACAAGTTGTTTCCATGCGTGACCTCTGGGATATCCAGGATGTATGCTCTAGCTTCTCCAACAAGCTTGTGTACTGCATGAAAAGTGAAATGTTTCAGGAACAGGCTTCATGGGAATCGGTTAAACAACTGTCGGTCAAAAACATTTAGCTAAAAAGCCCGACGGCTTTGTCTGGAATGTGGAAAGGAAAACCATAGCACCAAATACTAATTCCGCAGGTTCATTAAAAAACTAAATTTTAATTTTAAAACCCATTTGAAACAAGATATACTGAGTGAGTTACCAAAAATCTACGTTTAGTCCAGCGGTGTTCTGAGCTGTTCTCCGAGCTATGTGATTGTTGTGCAGACGTTTCGTTGCCTGACTAGGCAACATCATCAGTGCGGTATCAGGGGCTGGTTCACAGTGCCTCGTAAGGGACTTCAATATTCAAGTGCTTATTGATCGAGTTCTGTTTTGAATGCTAAGCTTCAATGAAGTCACGTGCTTGCCGGTTTTTAGCCCTTCCGAGGATACTGGCATGCTATAGGTTGAACTGATTGTTCTCGGCATCCATATGCACTGACATCAAGGAGTTCTGATCGTGGTGACGAATGGCTACGCTGTGTTTGTTGAGTCTTGTGCCAAGCTTTCTTCCAGCCTGTCCCACGTAGTATTTATCGCAGTTTCGGCAGCAGATCTTATAAATTACACCAGTTTCTTCCTCTTTCCTAAGTGTATCTTGCACTTTGAAGAGTTTATTGCGAATTGCTTCCGTTGGCTGGTGTGCACCATTGACTTCAAAAGGCAATAAAATCCTCGCTGCCATTTCAGAGATTCCGTTGATATAGGGCAGTGTTGTTTTCTTTTCAGCTTTGCATTTGTCGAGGTGTGTCGAGCAACTTTAATGGTGCAAGGTAGCGTAAAATGAAGCCTTTCGGTTACGAGTTCCGCTTGAGCATATTGACGGGGTGGTCTTCTTCTGCCCGTCTCAGCTGCGGTGAGTTACATTGGGTCTGGGCTCATTTGAAAATGATACGCACGCAGCTGCCTTTTTGGGACTCCAGATTCTTCTGTGCAACGAATTCATAATCTGTGGGTGGAATCTATTGCACTGATAAATCGGGGTTGTATCACATTTTTGACTCTCAGGGAGGTCACAAGTTTAAGCACACTAGTTTCGTTTAAATTTTATTCCATATGAGAGCGCTGTTACAGTTCGTTTAATTAGATGACTATGAACAAAATATCCCAAGCGTACTCCGAATTGAGAGCAATGGAGATGTAAACAACGATTTTTGCTTTATGCAAACAACATCTTTTGAATCACTAGTAGTGGTTGAACAAGTAACACCTAGTTTGCGTTTGGTTCCCAGCTGGGTTGCCATCCGTAATTTAATTTTGTACACCACATACAATAATAGTGAACATTGACTGACATACGTCATTGCTAACTGTATTTTGGCAATTTGCAGGTAGACGTCGGAAGTCTATTAGTTGAGCTTAATGTTGCTTCATTAAGCTTTTCTAAACATTTATTATGGCTCCTCTTAAACGTCTCAATTTATAACGAGTAAAGCAGCGTTTAGTTTATTAGGTTTGCTAAAACCTTGTTACAGGCACTTAAGGACAGTTATTGCTGAACTCGTCAATCATCTATAATAACATCCATCCGGATAATAGTTTTTTTCCGGGCATAATGTGAATAATATGAATTTTATACGACTTGATTCGGCTCTGCCGAGACTTGCTGTCAACATTATTTTGCATTCAAAGCGGAAAATTGTTTTTCAAAGTTATATTTGCTTAACGTTCAACAGCCTCGCGCGAAATGCAACACATAGCCCTCCTTTGTTCTGCCATATTCGTCCCGTGCATGGAGTTGAAGACTGTAAACAGTAAACCGCGTAATTTATTCAGATTCACGCTTTATTTATACTAACAATGGGCATATGGATGGAAAAGTTTATGCTTCAGCGTTATCCAAATATTATGCCATTCTAAGTGAATAACACTTTACTCATAATATGTGCCTTTTACATAGGCTTGTGATCTCAAGGCGTTGTCCTCTTTGAAAATCTCTTAATTTCTCCCTGATGCCTAATGATTTCCTTTATCAATCTTTAGTTTCGCATTAGAAGATCCCTTCCGCTAGAGGCTTAAAATAATATACATAACGACCTAGGTGATTTAGCAGATATGTGGCGAAGCAGTTTTGAATTTTAACAACCTGACGTATAATTTTGATTATACATTTTAGCAGGTGCACATGAAAAATTAAAAACTGAACAGTTGTGAGTAAGATTTCTAGGCTTTTTCTAATTACTTCTGTATTAGTTTTATCTAATTTTTGATAAAAAGCTATTATTATTGCGACGGAATCAAACATATACTAATGGGTTCGTGCAAAATTTAGTTTTCACACGCTTACTTTTGAATAGCATTTGAAATGTCGCTAGACACGTATCAACTGTTGGAAATAGCTTGCAACCGTTCGAATATTCCTTCTTTCTGATAGGATTTTTAAACATATTTCATTCATAAAAATAAATTCCTTAAATACTTATATCAACCTGTTGTTTACAAGGCTCCCTGAAACTATAGAACAATTAACCCAACGATTATGAGACTGAGGCGAAAGGAACACTTGCTTATACTCTGTCATATGTAGGCACCGGTACAAATAACCTTACTAAACTAGTTTATGTCAACCTGAACGAACTGAAATTTATCTAACCTGCTTGCTAAAATTCTAGTAAAATATTGTCCCACGGTAAGGAAATTTTTCACCAGCATCTGCTTGCTAATATAATTATGCACTTAAACCAAAAGAAAGTGCTTCATTTTACTTTGACGAATTTCTGTGAAAAGAATTTTATTATATAAAATGGCATGCAAGTACCGAATATTTAGAAGCATACTCGTAACCAGCAAGTTAGAACCGCTTGATCAATAATGTGTACTAACTACCAGGTTCAAGAAACTTTAGATAAATTTTTAGATAAGTTGACGCGTATATTTTGGGAGCTGGAGAAGCACCCTACTAAGTTAACTAAAGTTCTAATGAGTACAGAAATGGTGATAATTTAATTGCTTTTTATGGCATTCAGCTTATTACTTCCTGCGGCCAGATTTTATATTGATTTTATTAGGATTTTCGCACTACACTTACTTTATTCCACATATTGTTATCATTGAGTTGTGCACTTACGTTGCAACTTTTTATAAATGTTGTCAGCAACCTCTGGTTACAAGAATAGAGATCTCGAATCAGTTTTAATGGAATTAAAACTGGCATTTTGCACAACTTTCTTCATTTAGGAAAAACGGTTTTATTGCCGAGGTTTTAAAAGGCGAGATGGATTAACTAACAATGTGTGATTACACGAAAAGGTGCATTATATTCATTACTTTGCATAGCGTGAATTCATAACAAATAATATCATGAAATTTGCAGGTAGACATTAATAACTACACTTGGTTTTTCTATCTTTTGTTGCGCAACCTTTTGTCATAGGTCAAAGGTATGGATAGCACTAAAACAAGTTCAGCCTTTCTTACAATGCATGACATGCGTCTGATGACACACAATTGGTTCAGACATAGTTGTTTAGCATACAAGCAAATGTTTCTAGCTACACGCTACCTCAGAATTACCGCCAATTAAACCAATCACAGTCACTGGAAAGTACGCATGTTGGACGCCGAGGATTGGCTACTGGACAACATCAAAAGCAGCACTAAATTACGGAAAGATCATCAGTGCAGTCAAATAGCTCTTACCCATCCGAATGCATTGGGATATTATTGCAAATCGTTGTTTAACTCATATGGCAAACATATGCCGAAGTGTGCGTTGACAGTCAACTGCTTGAGCAGTTTTGTTTAATGGATGTACAGTCTGCTTCCTTACCTGGTAGTCGGGTCAAATTTCGTTCAACTGCGAAAGCAAAATGCTGTTACAATCCTGCAGAACAATTAAATTACCTCGCACAACAAGAAAGAGTAAGAATTGATCTTCGCCGAACATCGTTACATGGAAAACCCCTACTTGTCAGACAATGCAGAACGGACGTGCGCTATAGACGCCTGCAAGCACAGATTTATAATTTTCTGGAGAGACCGAAAACCTGGAAATCGATAACATATCATGTCTTTGTGTAAGTACCTGCAGGCGTATTTGCAATTAATCAAGTAAATATATTGTTTTACTGGGGCAACAAATATGCTAAATTTATTGTGTTCAATAATAATAGACCGCCATAAACGGCGCTTTAATTATTTTTAGTAGCTTGCCTAACCTTCGAATAGATATAGCAAATTGTACACTGTAAGCGAACAGCATAATTATAAAATTAACTTGGGCAAGAATTTTGTGTTGACTCTACAGATTCTTTACATTAGTTTCATTCTATGAATTTTTGTTATAATATTAGTAGTACTTAGGTTCAGATGAATTGCAGCTACCGATCAAATACCCTATTTGATCATCCAAGGCAGTAACAAAGATACAAAATGTAACCTGATTTTTTTCATTTATGTTTATTCGATTAATCGGTAGGTATGGTGAATAAGTAAAAGGTTAGAATTTAACTTTACTTAACCAAATACAACCATACAAAAACCAATCACTTTACTGCGCTTGCTTAGATTTGTATGCTGTCAAGGTATACTACCTTTATTTTAATTCCCAAATATTCATGAGTTAGTTAAATCCACTAGCACTTTTATCTTTAGAAATATGAGTTAAATGCTCTCTGCGGACAGCAAAGTTCATGTCATAAATTACTGTATTTCTTTTTTCTTCTACCTTCGCTAACATGAGCAGTAAGCATCATGTAACACTTTCTGCCAATAATCTAATGAAATATAAAGGTTGATTCAAATTAAATACATGGTAACCAAAATCAGTTTCTTAATAGGGAGAAACGTTTTTCACGCTAAACCAAGTTGCGATGGTATGGTAACTGCTTTTGTGGTATGACAAGTTTGAAATATTATAGGAAAAAATATGCCGCATTATATTTATAAGTGTGCTTCATTTTGTGTGCAAAGAGCGAGTGTATTCTTCTGCACACCAGTAATGACAAACAGCAATTAACAACTTTATAAACAAGCTATGAATTCAACTAATAATTCAAGTGAACGCGTCGTTATACCGCTCAACATGAGAAAAAGGTATGTTGGGCATGATATTTGTCCTTTTATGATTTTATTTTTGTGACCGCTTGACAAATCGAAATCGCAAACCAAACCTCAATTCATCTAAATTATACTTGGTATGTTTTCTCGCTGGGCACCATCTGCTTTTATAGTCAAATCTTACCTAGTCTAGTGGGAATGCATTCCGTGCAATATTCAACTGCTTGATAATAAAACACTCTGCAGTTACCTTTTTGTATCACCTTCAGAATGACTTTGCTTCTTTTCAGTAACGAAATAAGTAGTGCACATCTCTAGCAATCGGATTCATTATACTTGAAACAGAAATATATTAACCCAGAACTCAGTATCGTTGACAACATTATTGCATTTCATTGCATTATTATTGAACAATGAACAATGAGTTATCACGGGATAAAAGCAAGCGCTTGACACGTCCCGTAAGATGGTTGGGGTGAATACGATGAAATCCAAATATATCTCGGTCATCTAACGAACGTCTGCAGAGAAAAATAATTTAATAAACAATATCAGTGAAAAATTTAAAAAAATGCGACCGTAAGCGTTCAGCAATCAAACAGGGTGCCGTGTTCGTTGATATACGGTGTGAAAAAAGTAAAATATGGTCGCTCACTTGAGTCCATTTGATACCTAAATCCTGTAGAAAAGCCTGCTTCGCCTAATCCACAATTGACTAGTTTAGGAAGCAAAGTGTTAGGAACTAAGAGAAACATCTAATCCTTTATTTAAAATGTCCAATGTAGGAGAGAACACACCTGAGTCTGGGAGTGCTTTACAGGTTTGTCAAACCCGAAGGGAAAAGTAATTCCGTCGACACTCGACGGCACTGTTGTTCCGTCAACATTAAGCACTTACCCCTGAGCTGCGTGTTGTGGCTAAGTTTCAGCAATTGGCGGCATAAGTTGTTGGGGTCACTCAATATCTGATAAGCTAACATGAGATCGACGCGCAGCCTTCGATAGCGTCCGCTGAAATTTCTCAGCAACTTCATCCTTCCTTGGTAAGAATGATAACGCAGGCCATTTGCATTCTTCGTTGCTCTTCGTTGTGGTGCATCTAACGACTCTAGGTCGCGCTTCAACCAAGGTTGCCAAACTTAGATAGCGTATTTAAGATGCGAGCGCACATAGGAATTGCGCATCATTGGGAAGATTGTTGAGTAGAATCTCCCGAATGTCCTTCGCAGATTGCCGACGTGCTGGTTGCATCTTTTCGCAGCTAGCTCAGCCTGTGTTGAGCAGTTGATGTTGCTTTGTACGAGCACATCAAGGTCATCTTCCTGAGAGCTGGTCTACAATCCGTTTGTCCCGAGCAAATATGTGTAGTTACGTCTATGGCGTAATTGTACGACGCGACATTTGTCTACGTTGAATGTTAGGGCGTTTTGAACTGCCCTGTTCGACACCGTGTTATGGCCGCACTGGAGCCGTTCGAGGTCATCCGGTCTTCTGATTCTTCGCCATATATTGATATCATTGGTACAAATTAGGAAATGGGAAGCAATTAGTCACGCTAAATGGTTAATGAACACCAAGAATAGAGAGATTCCAAACACCGAGCCTTGCGGTACACCAAACATCACATCAATTGCGTCGGACAAGGATTCTCCAACTGTCACTGCTAACATTCATTCGTGTAGAAAATCTTTAATCCAAGTTAGGTTTGGGTCGCCAGTGCAGTAGTTCCAAAGCTTCTGAAGGAGTATCCGATGGTCTAAGCGATCAACCGCTTTTGAAAAGTCTAGGTACATGACATCGACTCCTGCACCATCATCAACAGCTTCAGTCCAGCTATTACGTGCAATTAATAGGTAAGTATTACATTAACGCTTTTGACGAAAGCCATCTTGTTCTAGGTTTATGATGTTGTGGCTTTCCATGTACTCCATTAGCGCATCTGCAATGATTGATTCCATCAATTTGAATAGTACAGGAAGTAATGTTACTGGACAGTAGTCGTTAGGGTCAGTGAGACTATCTCCTTTATGAATAGGAGTGATGAACCCTTGCTTCCATACCGGTGGAATATGGTTCGCTGCTAAACAATGCTGATAGAAAATAGCCAGTGGTTCTGCTAGATCACTAGCTACCGCCTGCAGAGCGTTTTGTCCTATGTTGTTGACTTCACGAGAACTGTTGATACGCAAAGATGACAACTTTTAAACACAGCTTCCGCAGTGAATGTGATATTGTCTAAACCTCCGATCGAGTAATAGAAACTAGGAGTATATTTGGGCTCGTTACCTGCTGGAAAGTTTGGGAGTAATTAAGCCGTAGGAGATCAGTTGCTTCTATTGCTGATCACGTGCACTCAACGGGCGTGAATGGTGCTGGAATCCAGCTCTTCACCTTTCGAAAGTCGTTAACGTGTCTATACAGATGTTTGCCGTTCGTGCAGAATCTCTTCATTTACTCCTGCCGAGGAGGGACCCTCTTTTCAGGGGTCAGTTGCACGCAGAAGTTACAATGTGTCACGTATGCTGTCCATGTGTTGTCATTCGAGCCGTACTTTGTGGGATCTCCATACCAAATTCCTCCGGGACATACATTTACGTATTCTGCTCCTCAGAAATGACTTATGCTTGCTTTTGGTTTTGAAGAACTACTGTTCCGATGCTTGTGCTACCAGTGTAAAGTTTTCCCAGACAATATCTGTGGGGGGCATTTGGTTAAGTAAGTCCAAGTTGTATCCTTCACAAGCGTAGAAAACACATTATAGTGGGTGACAGAATGCTCTTATCATCATACTTTTCAGGATACTCTACATAGGAAATGTAGTAAAATTGTAGAGTAACATGGTCACTACGACCTGTTGGTGTGCTTTTAGCTATTCTGTCCACCATAAGTTCTTTGTTATTGAGCGCGTGATTTAGTATCGACGGCTTTTTAGCAGTTCGAAATCTGATGGGAGAGGTTACGTGGCTGTAAAGAGGGTGGCTTACAATTAGCTCTTGCAAGCAGGCATTAAACCGCGTACTGTCAGTTGCTGGCATTTTTAGGTCACTCACGTTAAAGTCTCCAGCAAAAAGAACGTGAGTTTAAGACTTGTTCAAAGCAACTTACAAGACGCGGGTCAGTTTGAAGTCCATTTCCGACGTTGAGTATGGTGGGCGGTAAATTACGGCCAGTAGACATGCGTCCTTGTTTCGAATGTTTGCATGTTTGCGTACCCTTTACACAAACTTCCGCATTGCCTTACTTTCCAAGTGATTCCAGCTTAAGCGCCGTATACTAAATGTTTTCCAGATTATTTTATAGTTCGTCGTGATCAAGTGAGAAACTGTAAAAAAATTATATTAATCTTTTGGCATCCCATAATTTAAATATGAGGGATAGCTACTAATATTTAAAGGTAATTTTTCAGTAAATATACCTGAAGGCGCGTTCCCTTGGCATAAAACTCACGTAACCTTCAATATACAGGTAATAATATTGTCATAATTAAACCTACAAGCATTTCAAGTTTAGGCAGATTTACTTAAAAAAATTTTCTGCGTACACATGTAAATTTGTTAGGTATTAGCCAAATGGATTTTTAAACTACAGTGAGTATGAATGTTTGGCCTTGATATGGAAATAAACCAAACAGTGAATGCAGGTAAATGTGGGCTCTCAACCGATTAGTTATGGACTTACTAACGTGATAGCCTTAAGCCTTTCAAAGATGCACAAGTTTCACTGACACACGACGAATTTGAGCGCAGTTTGCATTTTGTTTTTAGTTTTTTTAGCTATTTTGCAGGATAGGATGGCCATCAGCATTGAATATCAAATTTATATATGTCCTACAATCGATATACGTTACATACATACTAGAAAATAGTTGTTGGCACGAAAAAGATATATGATATGCTTACTTTCATTTTGGCAATGTGCAGCTTATGGAATTCTGAAATAAAAGATATTTATCATCGTTAAATAACAAAGCGTGCATGAGATAAACTCATTAAATCTCAAAAATATCTCAGCTTGATGGT